AAGTTGCAGTAAAAGGACCTGGGGTCTCTTCTTCTTGAGTTCAGAAAGCTCCTTTTGATTGGTGAGCAGAACGAAGTGGATCCTTCAGAGTTCCCATCCCTGTTTGTGTCTCAGCCTGTGTTAGGATTCAGGGCTGTCAGTTGTTGTCACTGAGGAGTCAAACTGTGCTTTAAATAAGGAGACCCTGGCCTGATGGCCCAGTGTCAAGGCAAAAGGGGGAATGATATCTGAGTGTTAAGATGTAACAAGGGCTAATCCTTTTTGCAGTGGGATGTAGCCTGGAAACTGCACAGAGCTGAGCCAAGGGATGTAAAGGGACCAACCAAGGGAGGTGAAGAAAGAAAGGAAGTGAGGCAGCAGCCAAGCAGCACCAAGTTCCTGTGTAAGCAGGTGAGTTGTGTTGAGGTTCCTCAGGCAGGCACTGAGGATTTTGAGGGCTCCAGACAGAGAAGAGCTGGGAAGGCCCTCGGTGAAGCCCCTCAGAAACCTGAAGCCCCTGGGTCTTTTTGGGAGCCTGAGCTATTGCACCCCTGGGGATGGCTTTGGTTTCTTTCTCTCCTCAGAGTAAAACTTTGTGGGGGAGTCTGTGATCTCCCTAATTTTTCTATCTGTAGTGGTTTGAACCAGGTTTTCCCCCTGAAGCTAAGAAAACCCAGGGGGTGGTGACCTGTGGAAGTTTTGAAGTTTTGTCCAATGTGCGCTCCTGCGAAATGTAAACATACCACAAGCAAACAGAAGAGAAGGTTAGTTGTAGTTTGGTTGTAGAAGTGGTAGCCATGTTCTGAGGCCACGAGGAGCAGACGGCAGAAGCCCCCTGGGGGGCTTTGGCCTCCCAGCCCCCAGCGGGGGCCTGCGGGGACCTGGAACAGCATAAAGCTGGGCTGGGTGCCTGCAGGAGAGAGCTAAGAAAGTTTCCTTCACTGTGAGCAGCAGCAGCGGCAGCAGAAGCAACACTGGCCGGAGAAGGTGGCAGAGAGCCAGGAGAGATAAAATCAAGCAGCAACAACGGCATGCAGCACCAGAGAAAGAACTCCTGCAAGGAGAGAGAGAGAAAGAGAGACAGNTTTTGGGGGTAAGAACTGAACCAGACCCCCTAAACTCCTTGGAGACCCCTCACATCCTAGAAGGGAGGGGTGAAGTGCGACATGCACTGCAGAGAGGAGCTGAGAAGCTCAGAGCATTCTGGGAAGCTGGACCGGGATGGAGAGGAATGCAGAGGGGGGTGACCTTGGCCTTCCCCCCCCTGCCACTGCTGCCAAGGTGGCAGTCTGAAACAGAGCACAGGAGCTCTGGTAGAACTCGAGACAAAGGCTTTCAACTGAATGCTGCCCAAGATGTTCTGACTCAGGGGTGAACCCCTTGAGGAAGGGACTTTCATGAAGACACCCCTGCATTTCGTGATATGCCTGTGGTGAAACGAGTTTTGTTCCTGCTGGCAGTCCACAGGTGAGGCCTTTGCTTGGCGTCAAAGGAGAGCCAAGAGGGGTGAAAGGAGAACCCCTTGTGTCTTGAAAGACCCTCGTTTGGAGACAACGGGCCAAGGGGCTTGGAGACCCCCTTGTGTGTATTGAAAAGAGATCCAGCTACGATAATCCAGTTACAGCTGCTGCATGTGAAGAGGACAGATGACTGCTGCCTTAGAAGATACTGCTGCTCAGAGTAGAGACTAGAAGGGATCTGTCCTTCTTCCCTCCTGGACTTTTATTTGGAGGGGAGAAGAGATCTGATTCATTGTAAATACTTATGTCATGGTAGAGATAGTTGAAATCGTGTGTATAATGTATTATAATATTTATTTGTACAGTCATTGTAATATATTCCCTTTCCCCCATTTTGAGTCTTGTGTGTTTGTCTGGAAAAAAATCATCCCACATTAGGTCGAGATGTGGGAGGAGGCTTAGACTAGGGAATTAGATTTTGGGGATCTCAAACCATGGCAGTATCATAACTGAAACTTGGAAGAAAGTTGACCTTGTGTAATTTCCCAACTGCCTTGGCCGGGTTGAACCAGCAGTGCCAGATTGTTGTAGTGTGCAGGGTATTGTTTGTGTCTGAGCAGTTTGGGGTTGATTTGCCAAGGGAGGCCATGGAATGTTTTGGTGTTTTTGTCTCAATATTTGTAGGTAGTACCCTGAATTAGTTGATTTCTTCCTCACTCCCTGATATCTGAGTTAGGAGATGTACCAAGAACTGGTAGTTTTTGCAGTGGGATGTTCCCTAGAAACTGCATGGAGCTGAGCCAAGGAACTTAAAGGGACTGAGCAAGCAAAGTCAAGAAAGAATGAAGAAGAGAACTGAGGCAGCAGCCAAGCAGCACCGAGCTCCTCTACAACCAGGTGAGTTGTGTTGAAGTTGATAAGGTGGTCACTGAGAACTTTGGGGGCTGCAGGCACAGGTGACCACCAGAGACCCCTGATGGAGCCCCTCAGAGACCTTATAAGGGTTTGTGTGTATGGGATCAGGTGTTGGGAATGTCCTGAATGTGGAACAGGAATGCAGGGAAGGAAAATGAACCCTCCTGT